TTTTTTTTTTTTACACTGATTGCTTTTACAGCCGTATAGAATGTAAAAGCAATAATTTCTCTTTCTCTCTGTCTGCATTCTTCCTGCCATTGAGAACTACTGTGTGAGCTGTGATTGGTCACAGCTTGTCACATGGTACAAGGCTGTTGTGAATAGCCTTGTACCATGTGACCTCTGTGATCATTCACAGATTTCACACGAATTAAGCAATGATGTCACAAGTGACATCTTGCTTACTACTTTGCATGTGATCACTGATTGGCTAATCAGTGATCACTTGATCAAGACCTTGTACAGGGGTCCCTATCCGGAGGACACAGCGGGCACCAGATCGTGTTGCTGCACGCTCCCGGGGAGCGCGCACAAGCAGGGTGCGGGGAGGCCGTTTATAAACGGCCACCCGTCCCTGCAGTGCCACCGTCCAGCCGTTTATATACAACAGCCGGTCGGGAAGTGGTTAAGGAGGTTAAAGCTGAGTTCTACTCATTGGTTTTTGTTTTGTTTTTAATCGCCCCCGTGAGGTCACAGATTATGCCATGCAAATTGGCATAAGCTGCATATGTTATCATTTATTTTGTTTTCGTTATTTTATATTCATGTAGCACTACCCCCTTAGGGATTGCTGATGAATTTGGGTCCCCCTATAGTCCTGCACAGCCAGTCATTCAGCATTTTCCACACAAGCTTTCATCCAGAGACAGAGACCAGTCCTTAAGCGTTGGTTTATTTGTTTATTGAGGAGATTAGAACTTGGATAGGGTAAGGGGATATAGGATGTCCAAGGGCACCGATCACTGAGGACAACTTTCCTGAACTAGTCACAACTTCTCCTTCTTGAAGCAATACAGTCTCTGTCAGAGTGCTAGCCAGCATCTCCCAGTTGTACCTCCAAACCCTAGATGAAGTCCTCTTCACCCAGCCATCTGGAGACTTTCTTCCTGAGCAGGTGATCTGGCTCCCGTTTCTTCAAATGAAGTGAACAGTCACTAGAAGGGGGCTAATCTGGTTTCCTGCCAGAGTGCTCCTTCTCCTATCCGCCCATGGGGTGTAGGTGTACTCACTCAGACTCTCTCCTGTACCACTTGTGGATTGGCTGCTGCAGTCGTATCAGCTGGGCTGCTCCTTCCCTGCCATACAGGTGGTCTTTGTTCAGGGGGCCAGTGAGCTCCAAGCTTTCCACCTCTCCAACTCCAGGCTCGCAGGCAGGCCCCATCCCTTCTGGCAGCCTTCTTCCTCCAGCCTTAGATCTTCCTCTTCCATCTTCCAACGGACTCCTCACACTCCTGCTTAGCAGGCTCCAACACCTTTTTTTTCCTTTTAAATTCTTTCTTTATCAATTTTGCATGTCATTCAGGGATTATTGAGGCTCGCAGGCACCCATCACAATAAGGTTTGATGACGAAACGCGTAGGGTGACGTCACACCGTGTGACGTCACCACTCTCTGGAAGGACAGTGGCCATCTTGTTGGATTGAAACAACCCATTGTGATATGCTGTTTTTGATGATGTCTATGTAAGTGCAATTTTTTTAAATCTTTGGGTTGAACTTTTCTACTACACTATGAGCTGGCATTCTTTTTTTATATGGTGTTGTGTCACTCAGTGGGAGGTTTGCTGCTCAGGATACCTGTGATCTGGAGAAGCCTGCACTTAGGATTGTGCCAGTTGGATTTATTTAGGCCGGTCCTTTGGGCAGTCAAACTTTCTGGTAAGAGGCTATCTTATTGGGTGAAAGGTGATGGTCTCCTATTTGGATCGGGGTTTTCCCTCAAGCACTAGCTTCTGCCTGTCTATGTGGATCCCATATGGACTTTGTTGCCACCTGTGTGTGTTTATACGTAGTTTTTTGCGATAAAATTAAGGTTTATGTATTGACAGCGCTGCAATTTTTTCGTTATTATTTATGTTTTCCCTATTGAATGTGCAAGATGCTTTATTATTCTGGTTATTTGGAGTCTAAGGCTGGCCATACATGGGTCAAAATTCAACCAATTTTCCGTCCGAAAATCGCACCTAAGAATAATCGGCCGATTTTCGCTTTGTTAGTGGGTCAATGGCACAGGCCGATTTTCGTGGTTCCTCCCCTTTTCGGTGATCGGGCACGTTGGAAAATTCGTGAAAAACTACCGATTTTCGACTCAATGATGGTCAAATCGTACGATCATTTTTCCAAAAAGAATATGCGCATGAGCCGTGACCTGGAAGGAACAGAAGTTTCGCCTGTTATATGGGGTGAACTTTATGACTTGGTCGGCTGATTTTCGAAATCATTGATGGCACTCATCGGATTACCGAGCGAACGACGTTTTCAATTTTCAGACGAAAAATCGTTTGGAATTCGAATCATGTATGGCCTGCATAAGCGCAAGTTTCTTTTACATCACAAGTAGCCTGGGTCAGGAGCAAGATACATATATCAAAATAAATGCACCAAACATGGACCAGCCGAGAAAAGGGCCAACGAGGCAATGACAGTTTAGCTTCCTTCTCCCAAAGGCCTCTGACTTATATAAATCCTGTACAACATTAACTTTTATTACAGACAGAAAAAACTAAAAGACGGACAGAACGAGAGAAAAGAGAGGAAGAGAGCCATACCCATGGAAGAAGAGAGAAAAAGAGAGAGAAAGGAAAAGAGAGAAAAAAGAAAAAAAAAGGGGGGGGGGGGCAGGAAGAATAAAGAAGAACAGGAAGCGGAAAGGAAAAGGAGAGAGATGAGTGTCATGTACAGGGGCGGACTGACAACTCATGGGGCCCCCAGGCAATAGGGGATCATGGGGCCCCTGTGTCCTTGCCCACACTCACTCAAAGCACACCCAAAAAACCCTGTAAAAAAGGTACCAGGGGCATTTCATGGGGCCCCCTACTGACCCTGTGCCCTCAGGCAGTGCCCGAGTGCTTGAATGGTCAGTCCACCCCTGGTCACGTACCTGGTCAGAGGCCAGAGTGCTGAGAGGGCTCCCCTTGAGGCTAAGTGCAGAACACCCCTGAAGGTAGGAACAGGAGGTGCTTGACCCAGAGAAGCACGGGTTGCCAGTGGGTTAAGATGATGATCACCTGGTAATGGCAGGATCAACAGAAGTGACTGCAGACCTGAAGGTCTCCAGACATGCCAGGCAGAACTTGGTAGAGGACAGATGTTCTCCAGACGTAGCAGGCAGAACTAAGCAGAAGGCAAGGTACAGGAGGAGCCAGACTAGAGGTCATGCACAGGTGATCAATCAGAAGCAGAAGCCAGAAGCAAGGTCAGAAGCAGGCTGAGGGTCAAACACCGAAGATCATGCAGGAGCGAGGTCAGAGGGATAAGCCGAGATCATTCACTGGTAGTCCATAAGACAAGCAGAGGTCAGAGCCAGGAGAAGAGTCAAGTCCATGGCAGGGGCGGACTGACCATTTGGAAACTCGGGCGCTGCCCGAGGGCCCGGGGTCAGTAGGGGGCCCCATGAGATGCCCCTGGTACCTTCTTCATAGGCTTTTTTGAGTTTGGGCAAGGTCACAGGGGCCCCATGATCCCCTATTGCCCGGGGGCCCCATGAGTTGTCAGTCCGCCCCTGGTCCATGGGCAATCCGAGTCAGCAACGGGCATCCAACACAGGAGCACATAGGAACAGGGGGCTGAGGATCATCCAGTGATTTGTGATGACTTTAAATAGGCCAGTGGGTGCCAGCAACTGTCATGCTTTGCATGTGCCATGGCGCATCTGCGTGCACGATCGCAAGCTCATGCGCATCTACACAACCGAGCACCTGCACCCTACGGTTGTGCGCATTTCTGGGGTATACCGAGGATTGGCAGATGTGCCCGTTCTTCTGCGGCTGATCCTCTGACAATGAGTGCCATTAGTACAGTGTCAGTACTTTTTATTAGCACTGATCATTGTATTGGTGTCACTGGGGATGTCAATGACACCACGTCAGTCCCCCCCCCCCCCCCCCCCAGTGTCAGAATGCCCACTAAAGTCCCACCATAAGTCGCTGATCGCCGCCATTACTAGTATAAAATAAAAAAATTCCAGTATCTATACCGCCATTTGTAAACGCTATAACTTTCACGTAAACCAATTAATTTACACGTATTGGGATTTTTTTTTAGTAAAGACATGGAGCAGAATACATTTTGGCCGAATTTTATGATGAAATTTTATTTTTTACATTTTTATACTGGACATGTTTAATAGCAAAGCGTCAAAAATATAGTTTTTTTCTTAAAATTGTCGGTCTTTTTTTTTATAGCGCAAAAAATAAAAAAACCGCACAGGTGATCAAATACCACCCAAAGAAAGCTCAATTTGTGGGAAAAAAAAAAGGACATAAATTTCATTTGGGTGCAGCGTTGCATGACCGTGCAATTGTCAGTTAATCGTATCGCAAAAAATGGCCTGGTCAAGAAGGGGGGTAAATCCTCTGGAGGGCGAGGGGTTACTAAAGGCATTTTTGTTAGTTTTGGATTGGATAGACTGGAGATGGATGGAATAGATGGACAGGACTACTGTCAGGTTTGTATCTCTGTCTCTATATGTCACCCAGACGGACAGAAAGTCCCACATTTTGGGTTGTCCCCAGAGCAGGAATAGAGGGGAAACCCTCCAATGGGGACACCATGTCAGGGATTTCCTCTCACTTCCTGATTGGCTACAGGGACAGGAAGTGAAGGGAAATCTCCCCAATGGGACACAGATGGTGATGAGACCTGACAGGGGATGTAACCTCCATTACTCCTCCCTTCCTTAGCCTCTCATGGCTCCTCTGTGGTGATAGCTCTCGGCTCTGGGATTTATTATGGAAGGTATATATACTATTATATACGTCATCATTGTACATCGTGTGACGACAAGTCTGCCAATAGTGACGACATGAGACTTTGTCAGTCTCTTACAGTGATGAGGAGGAGGAGCCTGTCTGGGGCGCTTCGCTCTCTGAGGTGATTTGTCCCTCCCTGCGCCTCGTCCCCGCCCCTCTGCGCCCTCCAGCGGCCGCCACGTCAGCGGACTCCGGGAAGATGGCGTTCACTCTGTACTCCCTGCTGCAGGCCGCCCTGCTCTGTGTCAATGCCATCGCCGTACTACATGAGGAGAGGTTCCTGAGCAAGAGTGAGAGCCGGGGGAGGGCATGGGGAGCCGGAACTACCGGCCTCTGCTGACAGGGGGCGCTGTGCATGCTGGGACTTGTAGTTCCTCCACAACTGGCCGGACCTGGGGTGTCAGATGGGAGGGCTGGAGATTGACTATAGAGACCCCATATTTGTCCTCTACACCACATCATCCTGGGGGCCAGGGACCACAATGACTGCCATACAGAATCACCTCATCTATAGAGAGACACGATGACTGCCATACAGAATCACCTCATCTATAGAGACCACAATGACTGCCGTACTGAATCACATAATCTTTGGGGACCATGATGACTGCCATACAGAATCACATCATCTTTGGGAACCACAATGACTGCTGTACAGAATCACCTCATCTATAGAGACCACGATGACTGCCGTACAGAATCACATCATCTATAGAGACCACAATGACTGCCGTACAGATTCACCTCATCTATAGAGACCACAATGACTGCCGTACAGAATTACATCATCTTTGGGGACCACGATGACTGCCGTACAGAATCACCTCATCTATAGAGACCACAATGACCGCTGTACAGAATCACATCATCTTTGGGGACCACGATGACTGCCGTACAGAATCACCTCATCTATAGTGATCACAATGACTGCCATACAGAATCACCTCATCTATAGTGATCACAATGACTGCCATACAGAATCACCTCATCTATAGTGATCACAATGACTGCCATACAGATAACATCATCTGTAGGGACCACGATGACTGCCGTACAGAATCACCTCATCTATAGTGATCACAATGACTGCCATACAGAATCACCTCATCTATAGTGATCACAATGACTGCCGTACAGATAACATCATTTGTAGTGATCACAATGACTGCCATACAGAATCACCTCATCTATAGTGATCACAATGACTGCCATACAGATAACATCATCTGTAGGGACCACAATGACTGCTGTGGCTTCCCCAGGATGATAAATGTCCAATGCTGGGGGGGGGGGGGGGGGATGAAGGACTCTACACGGACATGATTGATCCCCTGGCTGTGTGTTCTGTTCGTACGTCCTCGTTGTCCTGTACTCTCCTCTCACCATGCGTTTTCTTTGCTCTGACACACAGTTGGCTGGGGAGCAGACCAGGGGATCGGTGGATTTGGTGAGGAGCCGGGAATCAAGTCTCAGCTGATGAACCTCGTGCGGTCAGTGCGGACGGTGATGAGAGGTAAGTCTTCTACCAGCAGAGATGGAAGGTAGGTCCGGGTCACAGCGATCCCACTTACAACTTCACTGCAAGTCACATGATTTCAGCGTCTGATGTCACATGATTTCAGCGTCTGATGTCACATGATTTCAGCGTCTGATGTCACATGATTTCAGCGTCTGATGTCACATGATTTCAGCGTCTGATGTCACATGATTTCAGCGTCTGATGTCACATGATTTCAGCGTCTGATGTCATTCTGACCGGAGGTGCAAGACACAGATGTCTACACAGGTCACACATGAAGCAGTCCATACATTAGAGATCAGTGCGGCTCCAGCCAAGTGGGAATCACACCGATATGACCGCTCTAATTACGGACAATAGGGGCGACTTGCCGTGCGATTTGCAGCTCTCATGACAAGTCGCACCCGGCGTGACCGGGGGGGGTAAGATGGAAACATCTGGACTCCTAAAGCTGCACTCTAACTACAGTTTTCTTTTTTTTTTTTTTGGCGGTAGGGATAGGTAAGCCATACACATTTATATCTCTCGGTTCCTCCAAAATGCTTTAACCCCTCCCCCTCCAGAGGATTTTCCCCCCTTCCTGACCAGGCCATTTTTTGCGTTACGGCGCTGCATTACTGGCATTTGCACGGTCATGCAACGCTGCACCCAAATGACATTTATGTACTTTTTCCCCACACATATAGCTTTCTTTAGGTGGGATTTGACTGCCTGTGCGGTTTTTTATTTATTTTATAAACAAAAAAAAAATTGACAATTTTGAGAAAAAAAACAATATTTTTTACTTTTTGCTATTAAACATGTCCAGTAATAAAATTTTAAAAAAAATCAAATTTCGTCATAAATTTAGGGCAAAATATATCCTGCTCCGTGTCTTTGCTAAAAAAATCCCAATATGTGTAAATGAAGTGGTTTATGTGAAAGTTCTAGTGGTATAGATACTGGGATTGTTTTTTATTTTATATACTAGTAATGGTGGCGATCAGCAACTTATAGTAGGACTTCAGGACTGGGCGGGCATTCTGACACTGGGGGGGGGACTGACTGTCACTGACATCCCCAGTGACACCAATACAGTGATCAGTGCTAATAGAAAGCACTGACACTGTACTAATGGCACTGGGCAGGAAGGGGTAACATCTGGAGCAATCAAAGGGTTAACTGTGTGCTACAATGTAAGCACACTGCTTTGTGTTTGCCTGCTATGCAGATCCATATAAAGCAGTGTGCAGAAGCTGACAGGGGAGAGATCTGTATTGTTTACATACAGACCCCTCCCCTGTCAGTGATACTCTGTGATCACCGGGTGCCGGTGGAGAATCACTGGCCGGGACCCGGTGATCGACAGCTGAGGCCATGAGTGGAGGCGCGGGCAAAACAAATAAAGTTACACTCAAGCCCATAACATGCCCTCTCCTTCAAAAAAATTTTGAGTCCCACCCCCATGTATACGCACACATCGGGGGGCCTACGCATGAAAACATTGATTGCAATACACATGTTACATATCACTGCACATGCAGAGTGAGAGAAATGATTCTAGCACCAGACCTCCGCCACAAGGCTAAACTGATGTCCTATAGGGGCCTTTGAAGCATCGCCTATAGAAAATATAGGGTACTGAAGTTTGTTGCCATTTCATAGATACACACAAATTTAAGGTTTGGCATGTTGGGTATCTATTTACTCGGTACAACCTCGTCTTTTATAGTATACCAAAAACGTTGGTCATTTATTGCCTTTGTTTGCCCAAAATTCACTTTAGTGTTGTTTTTACAGACATTTTGCATTTCCTAGACCTTTGTGATAATATTGTGGGACATAAAAAATTGGAACTACATTATTTTATTCTCTAGTACAGGGATCTCCAAATGTTCTAAACAAAGGGCCAGTTTACTGTCCTTCAGACTTTAGGGGGGCCGGACTGTGGCTATTGGAAGTAGAAAATGCCTTGACATCAGTGAGATGAATTGAGCCCCCCTCGTTGGTGTCATTGGGTGAGAAGAAACATGCCACATCACTGGTGTCATTGGGAGGAACTGTGCTCCATCATTGGTGTCATTGGGAGAAATTTTGCCCCATCATTGGTGTCATTGAGAGGAATAGTGCCCCATCATTGGTGTCATTGGGAGGAACTGTGTCCCATCATTGGTGTCATTGGGAGGAACTGTGCCCCATCATTGGTGTCATTGGGAGAACTGTGCCCCATCATTGGTGTCCCCATTTGGTGTCATTGGGGAGAAATTTTGCCCCATCATTGGTGTCATTGGGAGGAACTATGCCCCATCGTTAATGTCATTGAGAGGAATTGGGCCCCTTCAATGGCTTCAGTGGAGGGAATTATTCCCCATTGTTGGTGTCTGAGGATGAAATATTGTCCCAAGAGCCAGATAAAAGCAAGCAAAGGGCCGCATCCGGCCCCGAGCTACAGTTTGGAGACCACTGCTCTAGGGTGTCTGCTTTCAGAAAATAAATCGTGTGTGGGGGGGGGTTTTGTGTAATCTTCATGCCTTAAATTATTTTTTAAACGTGCAAAAAAGTGCAAAACCGCCTCCGGCAGCGAAAGGGTTAACACCTGCAGCACATATGTGTCTCTGGGCAGGCCATGTTCATGTGCTGGGAGCGCGCTCACTCTGCACTCCCAGCCCAAAGATCAAGCTGCCAAAATTGTCTGTCAGTCCAGACTAAACTTTGGTAACCAGCTTCCGATCACGTGACCGCCGTGACAGCCAATCACAGTAGTGGCCTGATCGCCAATCCTTCCCGCCTCCCTGAGCGTTCAGAAGTTTTAAAGGGGACGCCAGGGCGGGCAGGAAGGGGTTAAACAGCATGGATGGAGGAACCTGCACCTGCCGGCTATTGTATTCAGACAACCATAACACTTGCAGCTGCCTGAATACCTGAACAGTGACTGTATCCTATCAGGTGCCTCGTTTTGTCGGGCCGGGTGGTGCCGAGAGCCTGACAACTGAAGCATGAACAAAACAGTTACCAGCAGGTATCAGTAATTGGTATCGGCAACTACAAAAAAAAATTATCAGTATTCGTACTCGCTGTTAAAAAAAAAAAAAATATATATATATATATATATAATAAAAATATATCGGTGCAATCCTAGTAATAAATGAACAGATGCAGTCTGCACTTTTGTAAATCAAAAAATCAAAAAGGAAAACATTTTGGCCAGAGCTCCACTTGAGCTGCTTGTTTGTCAGGATATCCTCTAATATTAACCACTTCAAGTCCGGACACTTTCACCCCCTTCCTGCCCGGGCCAATTTTCAGCTTTCAGCACTATGATAATTGCGCGGTCATGCAACACTGTAACCATCTGAATTTTTTTTGAGACAAATAAAGCTTTATTTTGGTGGTTTTTATTCACCACTGGGATTTTTATTCTTTTTTTTTGCTATGTAAATGAAAAAGTGCAAAAAGTTTGAAAAAAAGTGTTTTTCTTATAAAATTTAGCAAATAAATAATATTTCATCATAAATCTTGGCCAAAATGTATTCCATTATCTTTTTAGTAAAAAAAAAATAAATAACCCAAATTGGTTTATAACCAAAAATGATAATTTTTAAACATTTGTTTTACATTTTTATTTTATTTTTTTTTTATGTTTTTTTTTAACATACTGTCACCCTAGCAGTACAGTGTCACCATGGTGACACTGTACTACTTGTGGGGGGTGATGAAGATTCTTTTTTTTACACTGATTGCTTTTACACCCATAATGGCTGTAAAAGCAATCATTTCTATTTTTTTTTAATATACTTATGATTTTTTTTTTTTTTTTTTTTTTTACATACTGTCACCCTAGCAGTACAGTGTCACCATCACAAAACGTAGGTTCAATTGCCATTATTTTCAGTGGCATCTAAAACGCAGTATGGTTTTGCCACAATTGTTCGATATATGGTGTGGCAAATCACATCGCTTAAAGCTTGTCACCAGAGGAAGCTCCTGCTCCTTTTTGGGCGACAAGCTTCACACGATGTGATTTGCTGCAATTGCCGTACAATAAATCACGCAACACTCATAACAAAACCACACTGCATTTTAGGTGCCATTGAAAATAAAGGCACTTGAACCTGCATTTTGTAATTTTACTGTAGTGTGGTTTGAGATTGCAGGCAGAATCGCAGTGATATAGTGAATGCAGGGTCCTGGGAGACCAGATATAGTGAATGCAGGGTCCGGGGACAGCGGATATAGTGAATGCAGGGTCCGGGGAGACCAGATATAGTGAATGCAGGGTCCTGGGGAGACCAGATATAGTGAATGCAGGGTCCGGGGGACAGCGGATATAGTGAATGCGGGGTCCAGGAAGACCAAATATAGTGAATGCAGGGTCCGGGGAGACCAGATATAGTGAATGCAGGGTCCGGGGAGACCAGATATAGTGAATGCAGGGTCCGGGGAGACCGGATATAGTGAATGCAGGGTCCGGGGAGAGCGGATATAGTGAATGCAGGGTCCGGGGAGACCAGATATAGTGAATGCAGGGTCCGGGGAGAGCGGATATAGTGAATGCAGGGTCCGGGGGAGAGAGAGCGGATATAGTGAATGCAGGGTCCGGGGAGAGCGGATATAGTGAATGCAGGGTCCTGGGTTTAGGAACACTTTAAAGTGATACTAAAGGAGTACGTTTTTTTACCTTAATTCATTCTCTGCATATAGTTACTCCCCCCTCCTCCTTATACTTACCTGAGTCAATCATAACCAGTGAGGAGGAAGTGGGGGGTGGGGCTGAGCCGTGCTGCTCTGTGTGTCTAATGGACACACAGAACAGGGCTTAGGAGCGAGCATACATGAGTGCCCCTGTAGCAAGCGACTTGTCATGGTGGGCACTCAGTGAGGGGGGAAAGGGCCAGGACTGCTAGCGTGGGACCCCAGAAGAGGAGGATCCGGGCTGCTCTGGGCAAAACCATTACATAGAGCAGGTAAGTATAATATGTTTTTTTTTTTTTTTATTATTTATCCTTTACAATTACTTAAGCTGGCCATGCATTGATCGAAATTCGGT